GAGCTGCCGACGCTCTGAGCGACGGGTACCACCCACAGAACATGCAGTTTGTTGGCCGTCCTTCTGCGACGATCACGGAGGTCCCGCGGAGCCAGCGGCGGGACACTGGGGGGCGGCGGCGGCGGGCATCGGACAACGACCCCAGGGTGCGGAAGAGGCGGCCGAAGCGCGGGATCAGGAGCTTGCCATACGTGCTGCCAGGGTCGGACGGGGCGGGCACCAGCAGGAGCGGCGAGCAGGCGGCGAAGCGGCAGCGGGTGGACGAGTTTCCGCTAGGCGAGCGGATCACTCAGTTCGAGCTATCGTCTGCATTTGGCGGGAAGCTCACCGGAGTCTGACGCGATCGAATCCGCGTACGAGTGGGGCAGTGACGGGGAGGCACATGGAGCTGGCTGTGTCGCGGTGAGTGCTTCGCGCGGCGGAGTCGGGCGAATCGAGGCGGCCAGTTAGAGACGATTTCAAGTGTCGTAGTAGATTACATTGATTGCTAATGTTCGATCTTTATCCATCGGGGCGGCACAGAGAACGGCGGCGAGATGTCGAGCCGGACGAGATGGTCGTGCAGGAGCGGGAGGCGATCAGGCGTGCTGGCGAGTCTGGCGCACGGTGAGCGCTTCGAACCACACCGATTACCGAATTTGGTATATTCGGCTAAGTTCGACTTGAGGATTGGTTCGAGCGTCCTTGCGCATAACAAGTCGCTCGTTAGTACGAGCTGTGTAGAGACGTACCGAGCCTGCGTCCGGCGAGTGTTTTGCCTGTTTGTGCGGAATCGGCATCAGCGCCGTACCCTGAAACCGCCTATTCAAGCTCGGCGCTATACAGCGCCTCAGGGACCCACCGTTACACGCCCTGCATTATTACGTTGTACCCTGAAACGATTTGGTACGGATGCGGTCGTAAACATCAGGGTTCGGCCGCGCTCCGTCCCACAAGGCGCCATTCGCCGGCCGCCTCTTCGCCTTCTCCCCCCTATCGGCCTGGCTGTTCTACTCCCTTCCTTCCTTTCCCCTCCACTCGTCAGTACTGTCCCCGCCGCGCGGAAGCTCTCGATACCGTCATCCAGTACCCGAGACGACGCCGTCCGCCAAATCTTCTGTGACGTCCCTGCTGCTTGCTCAAACCGGCTGTTCACGACTGCTCGAGATCGCCCCTCGTGCTCTACCTCCTCGCGCCTCGCCTGGTCGATTCCGCTGCTGTGCACCGAATGTGGACGAAGGTCAGCACAGCAGGCGCTCTTCTCGGAATACACTCACTCACGGTGTAGACGGCGACAGGCGACGCCTCGGGCTCCCGTCTACAGCCCGGGGCCGTGTGTCTGATGTGCATGGCGAGTGAAGTGGGCGACGGGGAGCGACGTGGGAGACGAGGGAAGGCTCCAGATGCGGGGGGCATGCGCCATGGAGTTGCATATTCGGACGCGCCCGCGCGTTCGAAGCCGCCAGCGGTGCCTGAGACGGCCTGAAGTCGAAGACAGCAGAACCACAGTGTCGGGGAGGCAGGCGGCGAGGATGGCGGAGGTATACGGAGAATTCGCATGGCAGCATCGGCCCAGCGGAGCAATATCCGAGGGCCAAGCGGGTGTTTCGTTCGACGCAGTGGGCACTCCAGCCTTCGCGAGAGCTGATAGTCATATTCCAGGTCGCGTGGTATCAGGTTTCCCAGGAGAGCAGAGACACCAGCGTACTTGCAGACGGACGGGGCGGAGCCGGCCGAAGAAGACACAGAGAGCGAGATTGGCGTCGCGGAGTGTGTGGGCACAGCTGCAGGACGTCCAGAGCACTCCGCCGAGGTGAGAATACGCGCGATCTGCTCGTTTTTGCTGGCCTCACTAGACTCGATAGGTGCGCACGACGCCGGGGATCACGCGTGGCACAAGCGGCGCTTTCACGCCATCTAATGATCCTGATACGCTATCAAGGTCAGTACGCGCGCGCACGGACTTCAAACTCACCAATCAGGACACACAGGCGCACATCAGCAATTCACACACTCTCCCTGGCACCAACTGGCACTTGCTGGGTCGTCCTGACTCACACCTGACACGGCCCTTCCCGTGGCTCAGATGACTTCAGATGCTTCCAGCACACCAGGCACTCTTTTCCAGCTCATCAGGCACCCGGACAAGATCCTTTCAGGCGTTTCCAGTCTCACTCCAGGACGCCAGCAGGCCTCAGGAAACCGGCATCGGCCAGCAAGTACTCAACTCAGTCGCTCAACTTCTTCAGGCAGTTCCAGGTCACACAGTAAGGCGCAGAGGACTCTGGAGGGTCCGATCGTCACACATGACCCCACCGTTGAGTACATAATAGCTGTCCGCAAATGGAGAACTCGATTCACTTACCCGTGATGTTAGCACTCGCCTCAACGTGTAAAGTATGTAGTAGGGTAGAGATACTGACCGTCTGAGGTCGAATGGACCTCACTCGACTCAGTGGGACTTTGGTGACATCATAATGGACATACCGTTTAATGTTATGCAAAGCACCGACGGACAATGCAAGTGAGTCGGTGTTGCCTTGTACTTACCTTGGGGGTTGACGAATTGAAGCTCAGCGGGCCACCGATCATGCCTGGGCGAATGGCGCACACTTTGTGCTCTTGGTCCCCAAGCGGTGTCAACCGCGGAGTTCGCAAGCGGCATCGAGGTCGGGATTGATGACCGGGGCGTTGGGCGTGTTGAGCGTGCACACAAGAGAGCAGGGAAGGAAAGAAAAGCCAGAAATATAGTAGGCAAGACAGAGGCGGCGCAAGACGAGACGAGACGAGACGAGACGAGACGAGACGAGATGAGACGAGATGGCCAGGCGAGCTGATGAGCGAAACCCTTGCCCTAAATAGCGGCAGGGAGTGATGCGATGGCTAGGCTGGAGGTCAAAAGATGTGCGGGAGCAGCCTGAAGGACGCGGGGTATAATGATATAGGCACACAGTCCGATGCATGGCGTGTGGCTGAGAAGCTCGCGGGCTCGAGGGCGCCTCGTCGTGCACGATCCCTGGCCCAAGTTATGGCAAGGCGTCGGGCAGCAGCGAGTGCAGAATTGGTGCTAAGGCGGACTACGTGCGCGACACGCCTGCGCAGGTGTCACCGCACCTCGGCTTTTTTGTTTATGTCATCGTCGGGGCTACATTGTGCGGAAACACTGTGAGCTTAGCGGGTAAACTCGAGCTGCTCGTGCGCTACTCGGAGTTCGATAACTCACCGTTTACTGGGCTACCGACCATGCTCGGACAAAGCCTGCACTCAAGTGGCCTTAGTATCTGGGTAGCGTCGACTGCAGAGTTCGCGGGCGACGTCGGGGTAAAGATCGACGACCAAGGTGTTAGGCGTGCGGAGCGTACGCGCAAGAGACGACACCAAAGAAAGCCAGAAATATAGGAGGTGAGACTGGGGCGGCGCGAGACGAGACAAGACGAGACAAGTTGAGACGAGACGGCCAGGCGGGTAATCGAGAAGAACCCCGGCCCAGGATAACGGTGGGCAGTGGATGCGGTGGGACGACGAAGAAGGTACAGGGAGCAGGACGTGGGCTATAAATATATAGTACAGTCACAGAGTCCACTCGCAATACAGGGTATGCGACAGACCGGCCTCGCGAGAAGCTTGGGTGGGGTTGCGGTTGCGGGAGTACACGTCGATCGCACAGAGAGAGAGAAAGAGAAAGGCCGGGGCCCGCAGCCCGGAGAGGGGACGCCTGCATGTGGGTGACCGGAGCCAGGGCACACAGACGCAGTATCGGAAGGGGACCACCACATCGTGCGCGAAGGGTTTTCTGCCCCGCGCCGCCCCAACTGCGGAATTTGAAGTGGTTGTGCGCGCGCCAGGAGGCGTCCGATCGAGCCCGAGCCGACGACTCACACGTTGTGGTCCTCATACTTGAGGGACGTCGACGATGGCGCGGAGCTCGCGGTCGATGGCAAGGTCGACATGGATGATACTTGGGTTCCGGGTATGTTCGGGGAAGCTCATGCGTTAAGCATGTGTGCGCGGGGGAATTGGAATGGGCCACCGCCGTCATGAATTCCCGGCATGCATGGGCACTGCTGGGGGCATGGACTTGGGGGGCCAAAATCGAGGGCCTGTTCGTTACACCCAGTAAGCATGACCGCGGGGCGCGGACACGTTCACCTGTGTGTATGGGGTCGCTAAGGGTACAGGCAAACGGCGTGAGCGGGGGATACAAGTCGGGTGGGAGTCCATGCTTTGGAATTCGTGACATACCTTTTGCTCGAACGTGAGCGCGCTAGCGCCGATGCCAAGCTGCCCTCTGAGCCAGCTGTACACCCCTCATTCTTGTTGACCAACTGGAGCGCAACATGCCCTGGCCGACGGTCGATCAGAACATACTGCGCTGCAGGAGGGAGAGGATCACGACGGGCACGGAGGTGTGCAGGTGGTGCCGGTTCTAGAGCTCACCTGTGCGGTCGTGTCTACGGAGGACCATATGCGCGATGGGGTCCGCGCCCATGCATTCCCGCCGCCGACGAGCGGGGGCATGCCCTCCATCGGTGAGATCTGCGTCTGCATCTTGAGGTCGAGCAGCGCGCCGATCTCCTTGCTCCGTTGTTTCTGCAGCTGCCGCACGCGCTGGGTGCAGTTCACGCTTGCACGCGCGCTTCTCTGCCACTTCAAGGTCCGTCGGCCGTCGGCGAAACGCCACAGGATCTTCCGGCAGGTGGAAACAGCGCGATTGCGGCGACCGTAACACGCTCGCTGAGTTCGCGTTCGCCTCGCCTCGCCTCGCCTCGCCTCGCCTCGCCTCGCGCTCCTGATGGAGCGCGTTCTTCTGGAGCACCCGGAGCTGGAGAAACTCATCGTTGGGCAGATCGGTCGATGCGGGGTCCAGCTGGATTTCGATAAACTGCAGTTCGTCTTCTGTTGGAGAGGGCGAACGCGCGAGAGGGGGGTCGATGGAAAATGACTGAAGAAAGAGACCGAGTTCTTCTCATTCGGGCGGGGAGAACCCCCGAGCAAGGACGGAGAAATGGTAGCCACCGGAGGAGCGTGCGACTCCAGCGAAGGTGGCTGCATATCTTCGTCCTCGCGCTCGGGAAGAGTGGGGTGCGGCGAATGAGGGGATCCGGGGTCTTCCATGTCAAAGTCGGCGAGCGAGAGCAGTGCGCCGGGGTGAGTGCGGGGCGGGGGTGGGGCAGAGGTCTCCGTGCGGAGGTGTCGCATCGTAAAGATCATTGAGAGGTTGTCGACGTGGAGACGGCGGGGGCAGCGTCGCGCTGTCCTCGTCATCCGAAGGCATTACGGTGTCGGAGTATTCTGACTCGAGGTCCACATCGACATCGACTGGAGGTGGATGCAGAGGGAAGGTATTGAAGGGTTGAAGGAAAGAAGGGTGCTGGTCCGACGCTACGTCCATAGGATGGAGGCCAGACGGCTCATCATAACTCCCACCACCAAACCAATGGCGGTCTTTGTGATGAAAGGGGATCTCGAGCGGGGAGATGGGCGAGTGCTGTTGCTGAAGCTGGCTATGGTGGTCGAACCCAAGCGGGACACCGAAGTCCGGAAAGTCCAGAGATAACGCGCCAGGTTTGGGAGAAGGAGGTAACTCGTCGAGAACCGTACTGCTAGGACTAGCAGTCCAATTCATCTCAGAATCGACAACCCACGCCAGCGGCGGTCCAGACACGACAGCGAAGGGCACTGGGTCGAAGGGCGAACCGGATGGTCCGCTACTTGACTCGCCACCAAAAGGTGGAAGTTCGGCCAACGGCAAGTCTTCGTGTAGGCTGATAGGTGACTGGGGACTCCAGACAGGCATCGGCTCAATCATGACCTGATCGTCATGAGAGCCTTCGCCTTGCCGTTCGCCCTCGCATCCCCCGGGTGTCCCAAACTCTTCGAACACAGAGTCATCACGTACCGGAGGGAACGGTGGCGCGGGCGTGCCTCCGTCCTCTGAATCAACTCTGTACCGCCAGGATTCAATCCCGTGCCCTCCTCCCTGATTCCAACCATCGGTGGGCAGCTCCTTTGGAGCTACATAGTCTGTCGGTGGCGGAGAAAGCGGCGCGATATGTCGAGCACCATCGTGTGACATGTTCTCATCGACGATCTCTTCGCGATCGGGCCTGCCAACGCGTGCTTCTGACGGCTCTGCGGGGAGGTCTGGAAGCGGGACGCTCGACGCGAGTGCCGCGTCGGTGAGCGGGGGCGATGGGTAGACTTGGTGGATGGGTTGGGGATAGTCACGCGGTGGCGTTGACTTCGCACGGGCGTCGGCGGTGAACGCTGGATCTTGACAGTAGCTTGAGGAGATATAGGTGCCCGTTCCGGTCGCGAGGTCGTATGCATGTGGCGGGGGATGCCAAAGTCGAAGAATGATGTCGGTGGTAGGAGGTGGGGATTGGTCGGGACGGGCACTGGGAAGACAAAACCGGTCTGAAGAGAATTCAGACGGTGTCCTGCACATATTGATGACATTGGCGTCGAGTTGGGCCGTCGCTGCGAACGAGAAGGAAGATAATTAGCATGCTTTGTCCAACTGGCGTGAGCCGCTGGCAGCGGAGGCCGTATGGTAGAAGAGGGCAAGGCTAAACTCGACTCACTGAGGTCGAATACGGCAGTTCAACAGTCCATGATAGAGCACGATGAGCGACGACGTTGAGAGCCAGCACACGGAGGAAGCTGGAGGAACAAACGAGAGCTCGCCCACCACTGCATAGCGCGTTCAACATGTTCAGGTAGATGGGCGCTGCTGAACACAGGTGGTGGGCGGGGCCATATCCGAAGGACCGGGTCCATAGCAGGGGGTGGGGCTGGTTGGGACGGGCTGCAGGTGATATTGGCGTCGAGTTGGGCTGTCGTTGTGAGCGAGAAGGATGCCTGACGTTGGTATCCAGCATATTGAAGGCTGTGAAGTCGTAGGGGCATTGCTCAGGGCCGCTGCATGCCGCACTGCATGAGGGTACGGAGAGCAAGCGAACAGGGAAGTCACTTACTGGGTCTGCATGATCTTCACGCGGAATGTTGGAGATCCGGAGACGGTAGGTCTGCGCAATCTTCACGCACAGCGTTCGAGTTGCGAAAACCCGCGGTGGTTCGCAGCACGTAGAGGCCTGTCGCAGCAGCTTGCAGAGCCACACGCGGACGTACTACCCGCGAGTTAAGTCCCACCCCGTTCTGATCGAGCTGAATTCTGCAGCTACTGATAGGCCGTCAGTTAACATATTCTGCAAATTATGCAAGTGCATGATAGATAGTACAAAACTCACAGTCACTTCTGCAACGCCCCATGATCGAAGTTCCTTCTGCCGCTCACCCGCCAACAGGAAATTTGACTGCGCTAGCAGTGGCTATATAGAGTGAGTTGGAATATGAAGGACAATAATCGGAAAAGCCGCGGTATTTTGAAGCGGAACGTACCTGAGACAGCGGTAGTGAGAGCGAAGGACAAACGCGAAGTGGCGACGATGACACGTATGTACGCAGTCACGTGCTTGGTCCGGCTCGGGTGTCACTCCGCAGCGTAGGTATGAAGATGTGCATCCTACAAGTATATTGCGAGGGACATAGGTGGAGTAGGTATACTAGGTATGTAGAAACTCAAATGCATGATGGTCAATATACTTATTAACGTAGAAACGGTTGAAGACGTCAAGAGAACGATGGTACTCGAGGTCGACCAGATCGATCCGCTGACCCTTGGTAACTCCTATCAAATGAGCTGCCCTAAATATTGACTCGACATGGATGATAGCTAGGGATGGACGACGACCTCGCAAAAAGGTCGGTCTAACCATCCACATCCCTGTATCCTCGTCCGGCGCGTTGCCAATGCGCGTGTACCAGTGTACCAGAGCACATTCGTATCTTCTGCCATCGTATCTAAAAGAAATCAAACTACGAACACGCGCAATATCCATGCCAAGGATTCCAGGCTGATCCTTACCAGTGCTAACAAAAACACAATCATACCTTGGATGCTTCTTTCGCCATGCCGGAGTAGCGCGGATGAACTCTCGGCGCATTCCTCCGACACCAGAAGGATCACTTGGGGCGTAGAAGATCGCTTCGGCGGACTGGTGAACGAAAACATCCTGGTCGAAAGGAGGGCAGTCGCCCAAGGGCACAGCGGCGGCGGTCTGTGGGCTATCGGGGTTCAGGCGGCGGAAGAGGAAGCGGCGAATGAGGTCGGTAAGGTTCGGGACTTTGAGGGCGTTCGCCAGAGCGTGGAGTTTCTCCCGTATCCTCTAGAGGAGTCAAATATGATTAGCAAGTCCGCACGGAGGAACATGTGCGCATACCATGGAGGAGAGCACCGCAGATCCGACAGTCCGGGGTCCGTCCAACACCTCCTCATCCTTCTCTGCCGGCTTCTTGAGGGCTCGGCGCCCCTTCCCTCTCACCGGACGTGCGTTGATGGTGGGATCTATGCCGCTGATTAAAATCAGTGCGCGATGCAACAAACAAAGCAGAACAAACTGACCAGCAGCCGCCTGAGCCTCTCTGAGGCAGCTCTCCTGCAGCATCCCCCTATCGTTGAACATGACGCGGCTGATAGCCAGCTTGTCCATGCGCTGATTCGTGAGCAGCATTTGACCCAGTGCTTCGTACCGGTTCGATCTACGCCAGGGCTCTTTGACCGCCTTGATATGTTTGGACTCCGTGATCGACGAGCACAGACCGTTAGGAGCGCCGAAGTCCCAGATTCGCTTCTCGTAGTGGACCATAGAATGCTGGCGAGGTAATGAGAAATCGTCGCGAACACCAGGCATACGGAAGGCCTCGCGGTAGCGATGAAACCGCACAAGAGCGTCCTTCAATTGCTTAATCGTCCGTGGGGAGTGTACGTCCCTGCGGACGAGGTAGGCGAACTCGAGGAAGGCGCGAATCGCGCGAACCATATCTGCAGGTATGTGACCGTGGAGGGCCGGAAGATATACCTATTTGTTGTTACAAATCAGGGTAATTAGCCCACAATACACGATCCACAGGAAGAAGATGCCCTAACCTTCATCAGAGCCTTCGAGTCGTCCCCGGTCCACTGCTTGAAGCCGCGGCCCTCCCGGAATCTTCGGAGCCTCGAGAATGGAGGCACAACGGCCAATCTGTCCGGTCGCGGTGGTAGCAAAGTTAATATTAACAAAGCTACTATCAATGCCGAAGAACGTACCGCCTGTCGACGTCTGCCAGAATCTCATCTGCTCTAGATTTGGTGTAGGTATGGTAGATGTACCTCTCAACCCACGCTACCAGATGATCTTTGAATGTTCCCTTGATAAGTTGGTGAAGGATATCCGGGGCTATGAGCTCATGGATGTCGGCGCGAGCGAAATCACTCGTGAAGGGCTGCAGGCAATGTGAGTGAAAGACTCGCTTGATTTCGCAGACGTTCAGAGACTAACAACGACGTCTCCAACGATGCCATAGTCATCCCACAACTTCCCGAGCTCAATCCACTCGACCAGGGTCTCCGTGTGCGCCTTCGATCGGCGAGGCTGGTCAGGCTCGTCTAGATCCTTGTTCCTTGCGATGCATCTGACCCGACCCCCCTAGCTCAGTGAAGTCCATGGCGAGTAAATGTACGTACTCACGTCGGGCACCATCCTTGAACGATGCTTGCGATTAATGCCTGCTCCGGATAGTCGGCGATGTAAGGCCCGATGCCGTATATGGCCTTGCGGTAGTGGCCGTCCGAGCATAGGACAACTTCTGGGTGCTCCATGAAGTCTGTTAGACTCCGAAGGATCCGGGAGATAGAGGAGTGAAATAGCTGTCGTCGGAACTTGCGGAAGACTGCGTCATCTTTGTATTTTCGCAATACTGCAGATACCATGGGCGTGTTAGCACTGGCTGACCATGGAACGCAGCGGGGACTTGACGCACCCTTGGGGATCGCGAGAAATGCGGCGAGCGCGACTGCATTCTTGTGGGCCCTGCGAACGGTGTTGTGAACATTTCCGATGGAGACGTAGAGCGGGTAATAGTCGTTCTGGCCAGTGGCAACCGACACGGTGGTCTTGTCGCTACCAAGCACTATGGGAACGAACATCGCTCCGTGATTGTCCGGGCTCCTCGCGAGGATATCCTGAAGGTGGCAGGCGGAGGTCAGCGTCTTTGTCATTGTGGATCGATATGCACAACGTACCGCCTGTCTCCACGCCCACTCGCCACTCATAAAGTTCCTGAGTTGACGACTGCCGTCGGCGGAGAACTCCCGGAGGGGTGCGTAGTCCAGCTGCGTCTTGAAGTCAGGGTTGCTGAGCATGCTCTTCACGATCATGCGGACATCTCGGTACCAGACCTCGTGGCTGTCTGTCATCCAGGTCGGTGCGCTGCTTGCTGGCTGGGGAAGATTGTCTTGGGAATATTGCATGGTGAAGCATTGCCATCGGACATCTCCAAGAGGGGTGGAATCGATTGTGCGATACATCTCGACATGGTTCTCAAACGGCGGCTCCCCGCCCTGTGGCAGGAGCGACGAGCGCCAGAGCTCTAGCAAGGCGTCGATGTTGGACGCGCTCATCTGCTCTCGAGCATACAGGAGATCGGCGACCTCAAACTGCAGCCTGTTCTCGTACGGAAGCCAGTCGCTATTGAGCTGGTCGTCGCGAGGCGCAGGCTCTGCGTCGGGCTCCACGAAATTACCCTCCGCATCGCACTTGCGCCCTGTCGCCAGATGGGTGATCAGCTACCGAGGAATGCGGTATTTGAATACAAGAACTGACCATTTATAGTCGGGTGCTCTTCGACCCACGACCTGTCATTTGTTCCTAGAGGAGTGCGCTCGGGCGAAGCGTGTATCGGGGAGTCTTCGTGCAAAGCGGAGCGCCCGTTGTCTCCATCGTCGCCCAACGGGAGAAAGACGTTGAGAGGCTCAGAGTAGGAGTCGTTCGGGTCGTCGAGCATATCCTGGTCAGGAGCTCCTCCATTCGAGAGGTCGCCGGTGAGAGAGATGAGCCCGCGATGAGTGCCGGGCTCGCTGACGTTGCTCTGAGCGTGTTCAGGAAGTCGGGGATCCTCTTGAGGGACCGCTTGCCCGCTTTCGTCATGAGGGGCCGGCGATGGCGGAGCTGCATCGTCATCTGCACTGTAAGGATAAGCCGTGGCCTCCCAAAGACCAGAGCGCCCGCAGTCCCCGTCGTCTGACAGAGAAAGAAACAGGGCATGTGCCCCGTTTTCAGAAGGTGGCCCATCCAATGCATTCGCGAGCTCCGGGGAGCTGCGGGGCTGTGATCCCTCAGCGTACGACAAGTCTTGAGGGTAGAGGGGACTAGTTTGGTCACCGCCAGGGCGGGGACCTGGAGTTGGCTCTCGAAGAGCTGATCGCCCGTTGTCCCCGTTGTCGAGTGTAAGGGGCGCTGTAACCGAGCCATTAGTCAGGGAAAATAGGCAGAGGTAGATAGCATAGACTTCACCATTTGCTGAATTGGAAACCACCGACGGACGTTCGCCGCCGTCGTGCATCGGGTAGTCGCCGATCTGCTCAATCTGCTGAACCAGGGTTCGCCAAATGTATTGGGCGGGCTCAGCAGGCTCATCCTCGTCGTCGGAGACCGGGACGAGCTCTCTAATAGCACGGGCTCAGCACTTAACATGGCCCGCCAGATGAGCGGAGGGGACGTACGGGAGTTCTTCATCATCCTCTAAGCCGCCATCGTAGCCGTCGTCTGATGTGGGGTCAGGGTCGCCAATGGGAGCCACCACAGTTGAGCTAGGAAATTCTGAAAGCGAACCCTCTCCGTCGAATATGGAAGGGGCGCCATCCTGCGGCTTTCGGTCGTGAACATAGAAAATCAAAAATAAGCACTACTCACAAGTTGTGGAACTCCAAACTCGCAGCCCGAGGGTTGGGTTGGAGCGGTATCGCCAAGGGACATCACGTTGCAAGAGGCGGAGAAGGTTGCCCGGTCCAAAAGACTGACCTCGCCGCGGTGATCAGGATGCGCACGCAGCATGTGCTGGGCCAAACCGGTAGAGTTCTTCAATGCGCCACGAGGACATCCTGGAACAGGACACACAAAAGCTTGAACACGATTAAAAAGACCTCCGTCCTGAAGGGGTTGCATGTCGGAGGGAGCGAAGAGATGAGATGCGGTGAGAGTGACCTGAGGAGCCGTTGAGGCAGCATTAGCACTATTTATACGGTGGCCGCCTCTGCGAACGTAGAGCGCTACTCACTAGCTGGCGCAGTCAGAAATCGTTCACCTCGGAGAACGTTCGGGTCGGAACCCCTCTCGAAGCGTGCATAGGATGTCGTCGGAGTGATAAAACGCCGAGACAAATCCTGGCAAGTGCACGACATTACTCAGACGACCGGGACACGGGATGAAGAGGATCTCATTTTGTAAAGATTTGAAGACTGGGTGGAAGAGAACGTATAGAGTAATATAGCACCGTGTTCGCATGAAACGGGAGTCAGTATTTGCGAGGTGGCTCCTTTGCCGATGACTTGGCGAGTTCTGCATGCATCTTGCGGTCTAGGATTATGCCGGTTAATTGCCGTGTCACCGCTGTTGAATTTGGGGGCTTACCTCAAATCACGGGCGTACCGGATAACTCTTGCCAAGTGCTCCACATTCCTACGCCGTTGCGCCACCGCTCAGACCCAGAAATCCCCAACACGCCGCCGCCTTCGTTGAACTCCTTCTGCGACTTAAACCCGCACTCCACCCACCGGAAAAGACCTCCGGCAGAATATTGAGTGAACGAGTATCGACGCTCCTTTTCGCCGACTATCGTGTTCGAGTGCCGGAGGATTGCGGACGGGATGAGGATGAGAGCACCGGGTGGAAACTCGATCATCATCTTGAGATCCCACAGCAACAGGTGGCCGCCCTCCGTAGGATCGAACTCGCCGATGGCCGTGACAGTGCACCATCCAGCCGGGAGGTTGAGGTGGTCGGTGTGTACGTGAGTCGACACTTGTGGGCCGAGGTTGAACGTCGAGGCCCCAAAAACGTTCTTGGCAAAGTTGGGGACCAACGTAGGGTCATTGGCAAGAAGCTTGCTCATCGTCTTGGCGTAGTGCTGATGCAGACGCGGAGCATATAGCTTGAATGAGGCTGCACGGTGTTTAGCTGTAGGCGTAGAGAAAGATGGCCGCTAAACTTACCATCGGCGAATCCTGCCAATCTCTGGATGGCCGTATTATCGAGCAGCTTGTTGATAACGTTTTGGTTATGCTTGGTAGTGTGCATCAAGTTGCTAACTTTCTGTCCCCAACGTTAGAACGGACCTATACCTGAGCGATGCGAGATGCAAACCTTCTGACCTCCGCCGTAGGAGATACCGGCGGAAATGGTTGGATATTCGCCACGGCGGTGAGAGGCCTGCTTCGCGTCCAGCTTGTAGCTGGCTCGAGCGCCGTCGAACGCTTCTTGAACTTGCGCATTCACAAGATCCCAGCCGGCGATATCCTTAGGTTTCCCCGCGAGGACTGTAAACACGCGACCCGTTCTGTCCAGCAGTGCACGAGGTTTCCTAGTACGTAGGAGAGTCAATGAATGCCGTATCAAAGGAGGACAGGAGCTTACTGTCCATCCCATTCGACGTATCTGAAACCAAGTGCCAAGGCGTCCGCCTTTGTGAGCGGGCGGCGATCTTCATCACTCTGCGGCAACCTTCGGCCGACAAAGCCGCTGCTGGCGACCGGGATTCCCGTGAATCCTTCGCATCCCGTGAAACGACTCTCCCTCGCCGCTTTGCAACTGTGTCAGTACATATCCGTCATCTACGTGCGCTGTGCGTACCGGCAAGATCCACGTGCACGGGGACCAGCTGTGCTGCCTTGCGAGTTTTGAGGGCGACCGACTTCAGCGATCGTTCGATCGAGGGCTGTACCAAACCCTCCTTCGATGCGGCACTGCGCGCAGACCGCCGCCGCTCCCTGTAGCGCAGCTTATCGCGGAGTTTGGCCTTGCTTTTTGCTTGGACCGCGCCAGCGACTGACCCGGTAGATTCCTCACCGGCCTGTCGAAGCCTCGGGGACGCTCTGGCGCCAGCTATGTCAACAAGCGCACGCATCACCCTGAAGGGGTACGTACCTCTGTACGGGTAAATCGTCTTCATCCTGCACGACGTCTGATGCTAATAGGGCCTCTCCGTGCTCCTCTGCGATCTGTGCGAGCGGTGCGATATCGAAGTCGAAGCGGAGGGGTGTGCTGAGGTTCGCCCAGGGAGAGTAGTTCGCGCCAGATCGGGTCTAAGTGCGCGGTCAGCTAAGGTTATGCAAGGATCTATAACCCCTACCCGGCGAGCGATATATGAGATAGGCAGAAGGCCGCCTTGCTGACTGGGCGGCATCGTTGTCGCTTTATGTTCCTTGTACAACTGAGAGGTGAGCGAGAAAACGACCGCAAAACACGAGCCTGCACGCACAGATGATGGACTTGTGACTTTGAGCGGAAGAGGCGTCGGCGAGGAGGACGCAGAGAAAGCGAAGCAGAGTGATATTGGCCGAGTGGAGGGGCGATGCACTTACAACGCTAACACTTTTGACGATAGTCCTACAGGGGGTAGAGCCGGTTAAGCATCTGGGTCCCAGGGTCGGGGCCAGCAGGACGGGAGGCGGAGACGCAGTCGCATATCCTCCACAGTGTTGGCCCCAATGTCGGGGCCGCACAAAAATGGGGATGGATGTAGCTGCACGCCGGGCCCCAAGATCGAGGCCGCAGGCAGGATGGGTATATCGAGACGTTGAAGCCATCGCCGGCAAACCCGGGCCCCAAGGTCGGGGCCGCACATGGGCAGGCGCGAATGGGGCGGGATGGGAGCTGCATGACGCGGGATAGGGGCATGCCGGGCCCCAAGGTCGAGGCCGCAGGCAGGCTGAATCAAAACGCTGAGATCACAGCCGGCGAGCCGGGTCCCCAAGGTCGGGGCCGCAGCGGGAGAGGGCACCGACAAATAAACGACCTGGGCCCCGAGGTCGGGGCCGCAGCGGGAGAGAGCACCGACGAATAAACGACCTGGGCCCCGAGGTCGGGGCCGCAGCGGGAGAGAGCACCGACGAATGAACGTCCTGGGCCCCGAGGTCGGGGCCGCAGTGGGAGAGAGCACCGACGAATGAACGTCCTGGGCCCCAATGTCGAGGCCGCACAGCGGAGCGCATGCTGGGCGAAGAAGAGTACTCACAATGGGTCTGCCGTACAAAGTCTGGAACGGATTCACCGTTGAGTATCGCGGAATGAAGTCTAAAAAAGAGAGGTCAGCCGCAATTTTATTCCGTAAGTGAAGGGCACAAAAATCGCGGTGTCAACGATGCCAAACGGCCCAATCTAGCAATGAATGACGTTGCTATTCAACGCCGCAAACTATCGGGACGCACGTTCGACAGGGCGAAGTCCCGATGTACGAAAAATGTGCCCCTCCGAAGATTTTTTGGGACTGGGACTTACCTGACGATAATCTGACCGAGTTTGTTTTGCAGGGAGGTTCAGCCCGACGGCGACGGTCGGCGAAGAGGGGTAGGGCTCGAGACTGCCCGAGTCGAATGGGCTAGAGAGGCGGGATGGATGGCGTTGGGAGGAGTACGAGAGGGGGGGGGAGAAGAGGGGAGTCAGGCTGGAGTCAGACGGGCTCCCGACCGGATTCAGCCACCCTTGGCAGTACCGTTTCCCGGGCGCCAAAACGCGATATCGAATCGAACGGGAACCCACAAAATTCTTCGCCACAGCGATGCCTCGGTTCTGCAAGAATAACACAGGACTGCTATTTGGCGGGTATAGATGAAAATACTAACGAGTACGACGACAAATGTGCAAACTAGACAATACCTTCCTCGGAGTGCGCCCTCCATCCGCTTTCGGCGTCTATTTCTAGCGCCCGCGCTTCCGAGGGTATTCCTGGCGGAGTGATACACACGTGGTTAGCGGACGCCTCCTACACGTTGGTCCATGACGCTACTGACCTCGCCGTTTAAACGTTGACGTTCATCCCAGACAGGATCACGTAGCAAAGGGACACCCTGATTGTACAACAGACTTGGTAAGTATGAAGCGAGTAGAAAGTGGGTACAGGCGGGTACTTACGGGAGTTCAACATACACACCGGCGCGCATGAACTTGGCGGTATGCTCCAGGAGAAAGGCGTAATCCTTCTGTAGGAAGGCACAAAGCAGCTGGCTGAGAGTGTGCCACGAGTCGCCGCCCACGCCCGGGAGACCGAGCCGTACCAGCCTTGGGAACGCCGCACACAGGGCGAATGCAATGTCGATGGGGTGGTACCGGAGAACGAGGACGTCGGAGGAGATATGCAGCAGGGGGCTGTCAAGCATGTCGGGAAGAATGAACATGTTTTGCCCGGGATACGTCGCTAGCCCAGGGAGGTGGAGGAAGCGAAGGTCAGGGCAGCGCTGACAAAGCAGAGGGAGTGTGTGCTGAAAGTTGGCGATTGAGCCCGGGAGATAGTAGTACAGCTTAAAGCTGAGATGAAGCACCTCCAACCTCGGCCAAGACATTGCCAGGTCCTCGACGTCGTCAGCGCTGAGCGTGAAGGAATATCCAGTCAGGATGATGGCAACACGGCGCAGACGGGGACGAGCACGAAGGGCGCGAACATAATGTAAAAATTGTCCGCACCGCAGGACAGCGGTGTTGCTGGGGCCCTGGAAGAGGATCTCCACAACCGTCAAGTTTGCCCCGATATCGGCGGTGAGAAGGCATAGGTCGTAGAGGAACGAGATAGACGGGCCCTGCTCGGTGCAGCTCATCCCAAGGTGTTGGATGTTGTGGAAGGAGACGTTGTTGATCAGCGCTCGAGTGTCACTCGTTTTACTCCACAGCAATTCCAGCCGTTCAATCTTCGGGAGCTCGTACGAGGCATCGGTGGCAGAGGCACCGAGCGATGGTATTTCTGCCAGCGGGGAGCATCGGTGAGTCCATTGGCCATGTGAGCACGTTATGGCAACACATACCGTGCAAATCCACCCGAAGATCCGCGTAGAGGAGATAATCGAAGCTTCGAAGCACCGCGCCGGGGACGAGAATGCCAGGAGGGGTTTGGACGGCCAACTTCTCTGTGCGTGGTCGAGCGCCAGCGACAGCTAAGCAAAGGCTGACGATACCTTCGCCGTGGAGCAGCTGGTGTGCTTCTGTAATCGTACCGTGATGCTTGTGCTCGAAGTGCAAGGCGACGGAATACAGCCGAGGGGAGCCGAGGAAATGCGTGATGCCTCCGTGAAGGACGCAAGTGTCCGTCTCCAGCCAAAGCAAGGTTCTCAGGCACGGGAAGAGGCATCGATTGTCGGCAGGTAAGATGGATTCTAAGTATGCGAGCAAGACAGCGGGGATATCTCGCGCAGTGATCTTGATGGACCTCACACAGGCCGCATAGTAACGGAACTGTTGGTAGAGTGCCAGTGCCTTGTGCTCTTCTTTCTCCGGCGCGAACATCCCCATGAGACGTCTACATTGGAGCTGTAGTTAATATGTGGCGAGAAGGGGGCCTAATAACGCACCCAAGCTCCCGAAACTCGGCGGCCTTTTCCATCATTCTCCCTGCCGTCAAGTCCAGTGGTCCAACCTCCAGGATTCTCAGTAGGGGGGCAAACGAGTGCAGGGTCTGCCAGACGTGTTCCATCGCAAGATGAAAGAACTGAACTGAAGCCGACCCGAAGTGGTATAAGTCTCGCCTGGCCATCTTGGACTCCAGGGACTCAGGAGCGGTGTAAGATGGAGGGTCCGGCTTGGGCATAGCGTCGATGATGAGCGACACAATATCCTCCGTCCCCAGCGCCCGAGACACTGCTGCATCACCTCTAGGCCCGGCCGAATTTGTCAGAGGATAGAGGGAGCGCCACGCCCCTCGCGACAAATCGTCCTGGAGCTGAATCGTGAACAACATACAGGAACTCGTCAGAGTCTTGTAAGATAGCGGCCGAATTTGTACATACCCTGAGCGGTACGGTCGATCGGTCTGCTGAGTCCATTCTTGTGGCTTCTCCGGATGCGAGCTTGCAGCGTGGAAGTGGTGCGGATTTGGTTGCGGGGAAGCGGGAAAAGCGGGGACGGGCGCAGGAGGACTTTGGGATCGGCGAAGTCGACTGAGGAGATGATGATCGTCAAGAGAAAAGACAACGACAGCCTATACGTAATTAAACGAAGATTCTATGCGTGGAGGGTGAGGGCGCGGTGCATTCCCTTGCGAAATGCTGACATAAAGCCAAAGCGGCGCAGTCCGCGCCAAACCCAACATCCCGCCGGCGAGTTCCCACCACACCATCCACCATCCACGTTGCATCCTTGCCGTCAAACTCGCCCACTCTACCTCCTCTTCTATTACTCTTCTTTGACTAAATGGCGTACGGAACTCGCATCACGAACGTGGACGCGCACCCCGGCTGGCCTGATCTGCCTGCTCCTCGTCGTACCTCGAAGGATGTTGCCGAGGAAAGCGAGAAGAAGAAGCAGGAGAGGGACGCATCCGAGCAGGGGAAGCAGCGCGCCCTAGAAAAGGCAGCAGAGCTAGAAAATCAGACCCAGAAGAAGGACAAGGAAGAGGAGAACACTCGCGTGACACGCAGCATGAAGCCGAAGACGTCGAACCCGCCTGTCAAATCGGGGTCGAAGACTGCCACTTCTGGGAACAAGGTCCCCAGTATTTCTCCTGACGGTGTTGCTGATCCCGATGTTGCACCAAAGCGGGGTGGTAGGTCCAACAAGCGGAAGCTTGACGAGCATCAAGATGTCAAATCTGGAGCTGCGGGCAAGAAGGCAACTGTCAGCCATGATGGCGCCTCTTCCGATGTCAGCGAGCTTACCGAGTTGGAAGACACACCGATGCCCAAGGCAAAGAAGGCAAAGAAGACAACGAAGGCTACGAAGGATAAGAAGAGCAAGAAAGCGAACCCGGCGCCGGTCCAAGGCAACGTTCGCGACGCCGTCAGGGCCTTGCGAGAGAAGAGTGCCTCTCAACGTTCTCAACCTCCGACCGAGTCGACGTCGAAGGGAGATGCGTGTGACGTCGGCGCGTCTTCCAGTCACGCTCAGAGCTCCGCGGCCTCCACGTGAGATTCCTTTCTTGTCGACGTTTCCGAATACTTAGACACTTGCAGAGTCTCTTCCAATGCTGCCGCTCACCAAGCCATGGACATCGATGACCCGACTGCCGACAGTCTGCGTAACTGGATCTCCGGCGTGAACGGCCCCACTGCGATCCGGATCAGGCAGGAGTCAACCGCTGCCACGCACACGGCATCCGTCCCCGCCACTCCTCTCCCACAACCGCCCCCTGCACCAGCCGACAAATCGAAATTCGCCTCGATTGACGGCGTAGCAGAAACACCCATCAAGTCGAAGCGCGGGAAGGCCGCAGTGAAGTCCAAGTCTGAGTCGACCGAGGACGCCGATGGCGAGTCTGACGCCAAACAGCCGCCCAAGCCCAGGGGCAAGCCTAAGCCCAAGCCTGTGTACAAGCCCAAGCCCAAGCCAGAGGAAGTCAATCAGGTGGTCGAGAACCAGGGTCCAGTGGCGAGCGACGACGAGAGAGCGGAGCGCGAGGCGGCTTTGTCGAGTCCGATGAAGGGAGGCACAGCCAGGCTTACAAGCAAGGTGCGTCGGCTTAAACTGATCCTATTCATGCTCATCTATATCTTTTCACGATCAAGAACATGGTTACGATCAACGACATGGACGTGTCTACACCGAACCCCGTTCGTGTGAAGGATGATGCTTGTGATGGCGCCGACATCTCTCAGGTAAGCAATCGCTTTCCTTGCGACTGACCTGCAATGTTAGCAATACATGCTCATAATGCACAATGTACAGCCCGGTGCCAAGAAGACGAAGTCAAAGTCAAGCAAGAGCGGTGCTAAAAGCAAGAACGAACCGAAGTCTAAGCCCGAGGATGACGCGAAGGACAAGCACGACGCCGAGTCGAAGGATATGGGCGACGCGCAGGGTAAGCACGAATTGGAACGTGGCAAGGGCAACGAAGAAGCGAAGAGCAAGGTCGGCGCGACGCACCAGCGCAAACGCGATGCGCCGCACCAGCACGATGACGAGGACGCCATGCACCAGCGCGACGACGGCGACTCCACGCACCGGCCCAACGACAACGACGCCACGCACCAGCACGACGTCAACGCCACGCGCCGCCGCAAGCGCGACGCCTCCCGCGAGCGCGACGACGACGACACGCGCCGCCGCAAGCGCGACGCCTCCCGCGAGCGCGACGACGACGACACGCGCCGCCGCAAGCGCGACACCTCCCGCGAGCGCGACGACGACGACACGCGACCGCCGCAAGCGCGACACCTCCCGCGAGCGCGACGACGACGACATGCGCCGCCGCAAGCGCGACGTAACGCGCGAGCGCGACGACGCGATCCACCAGCACGACGCGAGGCGCCAACGCGAAGACGATGACAACGACGCGAAGCACCAGCACGACGACGACGCGACGCGCCGGCGCAAGCGCGACGCTACGCTCGAGCGCGACGACACGAAGGACAAACGTAAAACAAAGCGCGACGCTAAGAGCAAGGACGACGAAAGGGAGAAGCATGAGGGCGATGCAAAGAACAAGCGCGAGGTGAATGATAGAGGCGATGCGAAGGGCGCAAGCGGGGCAAAGGGCGCGAGTGGCGTGAAGGACAACGCGAAAGACAAGAGCGAGGTAAAGAGCAGGCACAACTCGAACGGGAAGCACGATTCGAAGGGCAAGGGTGTAGCGAGGCCCGAGGACGAGGGTAATGCGAAGCGCAAGGGTGTTGGGTATGGAAAAGGAATACGCGGTGGGTCCGCTCAGGTGCGCATACATGCGTCATTCCATAGCTATGCAGTGACTGACGGACTACAGGCCGCGGATGACGACTCAGACATCGAGATGGTCGATGGCACCCGCGCCGCATCTAAGCCTGTCAGTGCTGTCTCCCGCACGAGCAGCTCCAAGTCCTCGTCTTCTGGAAAGAAATCGACTATCAACGACTTGCCTGACGGAGCCCAGGACCACGACCGATGGAGCTCTGCTTTCGTCCCCACCCTCTTGCGCTACCAAGGCAGCCGCCACGACCCTTGGACTTGGGATGCTCGCGGGAGCGTCCCCGTAATTCAGAAAATATGGGATGTAGTCTACGGGGACAGCTTGCCCCATCGCGTAGTCGCTGGAGACAACGTCCACAAAGTTGTACGTTCTTCGACATCATCTTGCTCGTTGAAGCCGTCTACTAACTTACGTCTAAGGCTTCACAACGAGTCTATGATTGGCGCAGCGGCATGGCCGCCACTGCTGTGTCTATCTTCGAGACTTGCTTCAACTCCGCGCCCTCTACTCGCTTCAGCCAGATCATCCCTGAAGATGGAGAATCGGATGGGCATCTATCGGCTCGAGTGAACGCCCACCTCACTCAAGTTCAGTCGGCGCGTTCGAAGTTCTGTGCTAAGATTCACGAGGACTACGCGTTTGTGTGGAGGGACCCTATGTCGTGCGCCAGTGGAGGGCCCAGGCAGGTAAGTGCCACCTCCAGCATGGCATCCAGGTCACGCTAATTCTGCAATATTAGGGTTTATTCCACAGTCCCTTTATCCTTCCTGTGCTTGCGATGCACCTCGAGCAGACCGCAAATGCTGTAGACGTTCCGAATCTCTTTAACCCTGCAGACGAGACTTGGCCCACATCCCCTGAACGTCCCATCGGCGCCATTGGGCTCGCGACGGCTGCGGTAATCTTGATTATAACATTATGTTTGCTACATTCTTACACATGCTACAGGTTGAGCGAGTGGTTGTATGCTGGATAAACAAGAAGCTTGCCCTTAACGCAAAGGGAAAGCCGTACTGTCCGCCAGTGCTCAATCCCGCTACAAACAAGAAGAGCACCGCAACCACCGACTTCAGCGCCAGCAACTTCCTCCGCCAGACCGAATCTTTCAAGATGTCTGCTGCTCGCATGGGCGAAGAGCAGATGGCCGCCCTGCTCACCGCTGCAGCGCGGTCTCAGAGGGGTGCGGACGGCGATGCAGCCGCTCACAAGAAGCCGAAGAAGAACGCGGTACGCCGCGATCAACTGTTTGAACAAGACACCGAGTATGGTGGTGGCGGAGTCAAGCGCGAGGAAGGCTCCGGGCACGGCGGGGACATCCGAATCAAGCTCGAGAAGGACTCCGAGTACGGCGGCAGTCGTCGAATCAAGCAGGAGGTCGATGACCGCATGGACGTTGACGACGCTGTAGATGAGGCCGCACGCGACGACGCCAGGCCTCACGCCCGCCACCACCATGGGAAGACCCGCCAGGGCGACAGGGCAACCGACTCCGACTCCGATTCCGATTCCAACGAGGACAAGAGCGACAGCGACCAAAGCGACAGCGCCGGAAGCGACCGCGACCGCGGCCACGACGAACGGGACGGCCAGAACAGCGACAAATCTGCGGACGAATACGACGACAAATCCACGGACGAACGCGATGGCGAACGAGATGGCGAACGCGATGGCGAACGCGACAACGACCCCGACAACGATTCCGGCAACGACTCCAACAAAGCCGACCGCGCAGACTACGATCACGCCGACAACGACCGCGCCGATTCTACCACCGACAGCGACAGCGGCAGCGAGCACGACAGCGTCGCGGCTTACAGGTATTCCGAGCACATCTCGAGCTCATCCTCCGACGAGTCGTCCTCGGAAGAGGAATACTGAGTACTGAGGTCCTAATGCCTGAGAAGGTGTATCGTCGGTGCGAGCTCTACTATTACATATCTGTGTAGGTATGCGGATGATCTAATGTGCCCACAATGTGTGTCCTGATCGTCTGCGTTGCAGATATTCTTCCTTCCTCATTTCATTCCACGCACACCCCGCCTCTGGGCCGCCATAGATCTCTCCACATTTAGTGACCCGTTTCCTGCTACATCGCCCCATAGACGCCTTCTTTTCCACTCTCTCTCCGCGTTTCTGGCCCGTTCTGACGATCTGATAATCACCTTTACCTTACTTACCGCGCTCCTGTGGTTCCTGTGCAGCATCGGCATACTGAATACACGCGTATCTGTGCTCTAGTCACCTCCTGCATGCCTGCCTCATCCTGCAGGTCCTGCAGAACGCTTTTCTGAGCTTCTGCTGGAGTTGACAGAGCTGAGGTTCCGACGAGCCCGGCGCTGCCGCTTGTCCCTGTGCTTCTGACTCCATCTGACGTCCTGAAGTAGTCATCGCTGACATTCTGACTTACTAGATATCGCCTGGAAGCGTCTGCTGTCCTCAGTCTCGCTGGATTGTGGTAGAGGCTCAATGCGATCTGGAGCTTCTGAAATCAGGTGCGCGCTCCTAACATCACTGCTGGTGTCTGTACGACTGGACGCGTCCTGGACACCCCGTCGACTGACTTGCTGTTCTCCTGGGCTCTCTGAGCTCGAATTACCGTGGAGCTGCGACACCGGGCAGTACATCATCGACGTGTAGCTCAAACATTGAATTGCGACCCCGGTAAGGAGCTACACGGTATTTCAAGTGACACCAGCAGCTAAAGCCCCACAGCAGCATGAGAACCGACAGCATACAGCGGTATTCAGGAATCCAGGAGCGCAAGCTCAATGAAGACACGATCAGCGCAGGCGTTCCCAGAAGCTCCGGTCACAGGAGCAAGCCAGACCAGCAGCAGCGCTCCAGAGAGCCTCCAGTAGGGAGACTGCCTGCTCGACCTGTCCTCTCCTGAGCTGTCCTGCGGCGCCTTCGTCCAGTCATCCAGGAGCTCTCAGGAGGGTTCATATATTCCTGATGCAAAGGGGGCGCGGCAGAAGAGGGCATGGGGCGGGCATCACCCCGCAAGATGGCGCGCGGGACAACGCCGCCACAGACGCGCTCTTTCGGCATCCCTGTGCAACAAGAACACCCTATGCATGTGAGCACACGTCTAACGCATTCGCACGCGCGATTCTGACGTACCAAGACGGACGGGCGGCGCCAGGAATGGCCGTACGCGAGCGCATGTGGAGCAGCCACCCAGACGAGCGACGGGACCTCCGCCACGTCCACAAGTCGCGTTCCCGCATCAAGAGGAGAAGCAGCGTGTCGAAACGAACCTTCGAGACCATTCCAAGCGCGAGGAGGCGAGTCCGAGGCCCAGAGTGTCCCCAGTGAGTACCAGCTCGAAGTCTCCTGCCACAGGCTCAAGCCCGAGTTCCCGCAGATCCGTGCCGTCAGGAGAACATCGTTTCCGCCCGCAAGACCGTCCCGGAGCCGGGAGCCAAGAGAAGCGCGGTCGAGGCGAGGCGAGGGCGCCGGCGGGGAGGGTTCGGCTGGGTGGTGGCGGTGCGAGAGAGAGATGGGCGAGGGAACGAGTTGTGGGTGCCGCGGGCGTCTGCTTCGCGTCCGCGTCCTCTAGTGATCGCGCGCGGGCCGCCAGGGGAGAGCGCTGCCTCGCGGAGGGGCGCAAACCGTTTGCGGAGTCGTATACTGCCAGTGGCGACTTCCCGGACGCGTCTCCAGCGGCGGCGCGCACCTGGGAGCTGTTCACCGAGTGGAGAGGTCGCGGATTTGAGCTCCCTGAGCTTCCCTTGAAGTACGGCTCTCGCAGAATTGCGACGACGCGGTTCCGCGAAGGCAAGTACAGCTCTACTGTATCCGTGTACGCATTACTGTACGATTCGTGCGTCTGGATGCGAGGCTGCTCGAGTAGCGGGGCCATTTGGAGACTGCGCCTTCGTGTCTCCCTCCCCGAGACCTTGTAGCACATTTCGCGCATTCCAAGCGTGCCGCGCGGCGCGAGCAAGTACGTAGAGTTTCCATGCATTCCCTGTGCCCTAGTTGACGTGTTCGAACTCGGAATATATTTGATTTCACACTTGCCATACTTGCGAGTCAACCTGCCCCCACTCCTCGTCCTCCCAATTCCTCCCCACTGCCCTCCCGGAGTCAGTGATTCTCGTCCCACCCGTTTGCACACTGCCCCCGCATCATCGCGCCGCCCGCGCCGCGCTCGCATCAAGTACGAGCCTCACAAGGTACTCGTAGCTCTTGGCGAAGGTCGCCAGTCCGAGGACAGACACAAGTACGAGCCCCCGCACACACGCAGCCAGCTTCCGAGTGATAGTGAGTCAATTGAATGTACAGTCCCGGT